GCAACTAGAATCTTCATTACGTTATCTGAATGTTGAGGATCAGAAGGACTGCGTAGTCCATCACATACTTCCAAACATAACGGAAAGTGTTCGGATTTCCTTTGTGTTCAAATCCACCACTGAGGTAAGGTAATAAAATAAAACACATGTTTTAGTATTCATAATACTAAGAAACAATTTCATACAGAATAAAGAATACAAGTTTCAATCCAGACTCACCATGTACTGCATATTTTAATAGCAGTTATGCTTGCTGGGTGACGTATCAGAAATAAAACTTCAAAGGGATTGGCCAGGATCACAGAAACTTTAAAAAAAGAAAGACAATCATCATAAAAGATACAAACAATGATATTTAGAATAACAAATTTCATAATAGAAAGAAAAAAAGCAGTAGGTGATCTGAAGTAATGCACATGCACAAGCCTAAGGTTGTAAATAGATGTCAAACAAGAAACGGCACAAGTTCGGATCAACCTTTCACATAGCAAAATGCCTTTACAATCACAAATATCTATTCTATCATTTTACATTAAGTATGCAATACTGTTCAAAATACACTATAAGCTTTGATTAAAAGTTATTATCATTGCAGCAGCATACCATGTCAACAGGTTTGCATGTCTATCATAATGTAAACAAACAGTACATTAGGTTATGATTCCAAACTTGAAAAAAAAAATTGGTTGGCTCTTTGGTTTGAAGATAAATAATTGCCTCCGGTGCATTTCGAATAATAAGAGAATAATTTAAACGAGGAGGCTCACGCGCACCGGCTCCCTCTGCAAAATATAGCATTTCCGGTAAAGCTGAAAAGCAGAAGAATGCGGGGAAGAAGAAACCGGAAATCGCTATGCTTTAACATGGTGACTTCCGTTTTCTTGTTTCCTGCATTCTTCTGCATTTCAGCTTTACCGGAAAGCTTGCTAAACTGGGACATTTTCTCTAAAATATAGGCAATTTTACTGAAATGATGACAATTCGATGAAAACGACAAAGTTCTGACGAACTTATGACCAGACTTACGTCCAGCCACCGGGTTCACACGCTTATCTAAAGCCGATGTCGACTTACTTTACTTGACTGGTAGTCGGAGTTTAACTCCGATGTGCCGCGGTCCCATTACAATGATCAACAGACCTAAGGGTGGAGAGCCCCGCCGCCAGTGACCCCGAGTCACCCCAGAGCCTCTTGCCGCTCCCTCAGTCAGAAGTGCGGCGGGCCGGGCGGCGGCCGTGTGCCACTGCAGGGGCGATGAGGGATTTTCCGACCTCATGTCCCACACGTGGATAATGTTGGCCAACCCAACATTTGTTGGCCAACCCAACAAAAAAAAGAAAAAGTTGGCCAACAAAATAAAGATACGATTAAAAATAAAAATGAGGGTACCACTGGATTCGTCTGGATGAGTGCTATTTATTTCAGGTGTCGGATGAATTTTTACCGGCAGCATTAGGGCCTAAATGGCGAATAAACCCCCAGAAAGGTGAAACTTGGTGAAAAACCGCTGCCAACAACCGAATCTTGCCGGTAAAAATTGAAATGAGGTTACCGCTGGATTCGTCTTGATGAGTACTATTTATTTCAGGTGTCGGATGAATTTTTACCGGCAGCATTGGGGCCTAAATGGCGAATAAAAACCCAGAAAGGTGAAAGTTGGTGAAAAACCGCTGCCAACAACCGAATCTTGCCGGTAAAAATTGAAATGATGGTACCGCTGGATTCGTCCTGATGAGTACTATCCATTTCAGGTGTCGGATGAATTTTTACCGGCAGCATTGGGGCCTAAATGGCGAATAAACCCCCAGAAAGGTGAAAGTTGGTGAAAAACCGCTGCCAACAACCGAATCTTGCCGGTAAAAATTAAAATGAGTGTACCGCTGGATTCGTCTTGGTGAGTACTATCCATTTCAGGTGTCGGATGAATTTTTACCGGCAGCATTGGGGCCTAAATGGCGAATCAACCCCCAGAAAGGTGAAACTTGGTGAAAAACCGCTGCCAACAACCGAATCCTGCCGGTAAAAATTGAAAGGAGGGTACCGCTGGATTCGTCTTGATGAGTACTTTCAGTTTCAGATGTCGGATGAATTTTTACCGGCAGCATTGGGCCTAAATGGCGAATAAACCCCCAGAAAGGTGAAAGTTGGTGAAAAACCGCTGCCAACAACCGAATCTTGCCGGTAAAAATTAAAATCGGGGTACCACTAGATACGTTTTGATGAGTTCTATCCATTTCAGGTATCGGATGAATTTATACCGGCAACATTGGGGCCTAAATGGCGAATAAACCCCCAGAAAGGTAAAGGTTGGTGAAAAACCGCTGCCAACAACCGAATCTTGCCGGTAAAAATTGAAATGAGGTTACCGCTGGATTCGTCTTGATGAGTACTATCCATTTCAGGTGTCGGATGAATTTT